CCTCTCTGCTGCATGGGAGTGGCCCAAGCCCCCCTTTCCCCTGCAAAAGGGAAGGTGGGGAGAAACTGCGAATGGTTCTGCCTGTCTTTGGGTGACCCCGGGCAGAGCCGGCCTCCCTCCTCCCGTAATCTTGCTTTTGCTATTCCTGAACATGAACTTTGAGCAGCTCAGCACGGGGACTGTTTCCTGGGAGATGAAGGCCCCTCCCCCACACGCTGTTTCAGGGCCCTGTCCTGGAAGCGGTGACACTCAGGAGCTGAGGTTTGGGGGTGCACAGCACCATCACCTCACTCTTCCGGTGCTGCACTGATGGTGCTGTGGGGCCCCAGGCAACTGACTTAACCTCTCTGTGCCCAAGTGTCCTGCCCTGTTAGAGGGGCGGAAAATAACTAGAACCACCATCCATTTCCACTAGGATTACATGGAACAATGTCTACAAAACTGAGCACGAACCCAGAACCCAGAAGGTGGCAGATAAAGGCCAGCTTTCTGTTTCGCTGAAATGGTAACAATGGGGCAGGGGAATGACACTTCCCTCTTAGGCGAGGGGATTCCGAAGGTCAGAGGGCGTGTTTTCTTATTTTTTTAAAATCCTGAGGATATGCTTTACAGATTTGAGAGGGAGGGAGGGAGGGAGGGAGGCAGAGAGGTGAGAGAGAAACGTGGCCCCTGCAGGCGCCCTGATCCCTGCACGCTCTGACTTGTCATCAAACCAGCGACCTTTCGGACACGCTGACCCGCACCGGCCAGGGCCAGAGGGTGTGCTTTCTGACTGCAGCTCTGGGAATGTAGGAGTTTTCTGCCTCCTGTCTCCTCTGTGCACAGTCCGGGGGTTCCCAGTGGCTGGGGTGCTGGGGAGGGAGGGGTAAGAGGGAGGGGCTGTCCGGACTCCTCTCTTTCTGCAGGTGGCGGAACCTCCCCACTAGGGGCCATCTGGAAATTTGTGGGGAAATTTTTTAGGTTGTCACAAGTCTGCCTCCCTTTTATGGTATTTAGTGCGGACCCAGGGATGGTAAGAAGCCTGCAGTGCTGGGACAGCCCCCCCACTCCCCAAGCCAATAACTGCTCTATCCTAGGGGCCAATGGTTGAAAACCACTGAGGCTTCCCTTGAGATGAAAGGCCAGAAGGAGGTCCCCAGCCAACCCCCCGAGACCCGCAACCCAACTGAGCCCTCTCTAGCTGAGCTCCCACCCCAGATGAGTCCCCCCAAAAGCACCTCCTGCAAACACCCCCCATTTCCACTGCGGGGAGGAGCTGGACTGTGGGGATGGGGTTGGCGGTTTCTGGGTCCAGGTCCTCAATCCGCCCACAAGGGGGTGCCAGACCCTCAGTGCTGAGGGGCAGGAGCAGCCCAGCATCCCAGGGCTGGAGAGGGGCTGGGCCACCAGGCACACAGGTGGGAGGGGCCTGGACTCGGCTCACCCCAACCCGCCATCAAAGCAGCTCTCTCGCCCTCCGCACTGCTGCAACTCGGGGTTGGGTTGTCCTCCGTGGGGGGCTGTCCTGGGCACCATGTGGTGTTGAGTCGTAGCCTGGCCTCCACCCTTTCCCGCTATAACCACCTCAGGACACCGGCCGCTCACCCCAAGTGTTGGGGTCCCTGTTTCTGGGGGCCACCTGCCCTGCCCCTCCAGCGTCCTCCCTTCACTTGGCACGGATCACAGAACAGTCCGCAGTGAACACAGAAAGGACCAAAGACAGCCAGAAAGAGTCGAAGCGTAGCTTGTTTAATTTTTATACATTTTTCTTTTTTTTTTGCCTTTTATTGAATATTTTATGGAACCCCCCCCATTTTTCTTTTCTTTTTTTTCTTTTTTGCATAGGGAAACAAACAAAATAATAACAGCCAGAATCACTTTCTGTAAATGGTACTTAGGCGCATCTGCAAAACCGAAATGACTGCGTAATATACAAGGTTATGATCGGAGTATGATGAGGGAGCAGGGTGGGTGAGCCAGGGGAGGGAGACGGCTGGGCTCCGGTCTGCCCAGATGCCCCCTTGTCCCCCATCCAGTCCCCACACTGGGGAGGAGGAGGCAGACCCAGCCAGAACCTCCCCGCATGAGCACGGGGTGTGTATGTGTTATCCGGTATGTGCGGCAAGCAGAAAGCAAGAAAGAGTAAACTATCCTGGTAATATCAGTAAAATACAAAATGAGAAAAAAAAACCCTCAAAAATATCTTGAAAGAAAAAGAAAGTGAACAGCAACACCACCAAAAATTTTAAGGATGGATGGATGGAAGGATGGATGGATGGATGGATGGAAGGATGGATGGAAGGAAGGGAGGGGGGAGGGGAAGGAGGGAGGAAGGCAACTCAGAGGCAAATGGGTCTCTCTCCCTTCTCCCTGCCCCCCCCCCCCAGCTGTGTGCTCTGTCCCTTGCTTCACTCTGCTTGTCCTTCCCCCATGTGGGGTCCTAGGGAGTGGGAGGCCAGGAAATGGGGGGCAAGGGCCAGGACCCCTGGACTTGAAGGGGCTTTGGTTTGGGGGGGCCTGGCTGGGACCCAAAATAAGAAGATCAACAGAAGTGTTAGTGCACCTTGGGAGTGGGCTTGGGGGTTCCCAACTGCAAGGGGCTGGGGAAGCTCCCGTCCCTTCCCAGAGGGTCCCGGTCTAGCCAGGAGGTGTGAATGGAGGGCTGCAGCCGGGGGCGGTGGTGACTTCCTTTCCCTCCTGGAGCCCTTATTCCTGTTAGATCCTGACTCCCGTTTTCTGAGGACCTCGGGCCCCCAGCCCCACCCCCCCGCCCCCCGGAGCTGGGGAGAACTCCAAAGCCACGCCAGCAGACGTGTGAGGCACTGCTTGGGAAAACTCTGTTTTGGTATCACTGGCAACAAGTCCTGCTGGGATCGCTTTGGGTCTGTCTCCCTGCCTTGCTGGGGGCAGGGGTGGGGTGGGCGTCCAGGGCCACTCCAGACCCCACACTCTGAAAGGCTTAGGGACGGGCGGAGGGGGAGGCCATGTCGCTTGGAGGTGGGACTCTTAGAAAGTGACCAAAGGTGCAGAAATGGGGGGAAATGGGAGGATGTGGAAGAAGCTGGATTTGAGGGTGGCTCTCTGAACCCCTCCCCCAACACCCTCTAGAAAGAAAGTAAAAATCAGGGTCTGAGAGAGAGAATCCAGGCCCAAATAAAAAGTAGCCACCGTATAATCTGTATTATAAGAAAAAAATGCGTATATATCCCTACACTGAAGGTCAAAGTACCATCGGAGAAGCGGGGCGAGGGGTGTGTGCTGCCCTCCCTCGGGGCGGAAGGCTGCCTCTGGCCCAGGGCCCTGCTGACTGGCTACTGTCCACTCAGGTCCGCCTGCCCCGGGCATGCGCCGCCTCTGGGGACAGACGGAGGTTCTGGAGCGGGGAGTGGGTCCTGGGGCTGCGGCTGGGTGCCTGCTGCTTGGGGAGCTGCAGCAGCTCCTCGAGTTTCCTCTGGGGTTCCTTTCGGGTCGGATTGTCTAGCTCAGAGTTGCAGACCGGGGCCCGGAGGACTCCACTCCCGTTTCTGGTCTGACAGGGCCGGGTCTTCCCACAGCTCCCTCTCCCCGGGTCTGGGGTGTCCCGTGGCCCCAGCCGTGAGGGACGGGCAGCCTCATCCATTTGGGAGGCTCCCTCCTCTTTTCCACCACATGGGCTGGACCCAGGGTCAGGGTAAAAAAAGTGGGTGGCGTGGGCTTGGGAGGGGATGGGGTTTGAGAAGATGTCAGTTTCATACATGTAAAAAAATACACACAAAAAAACAACCCAATGAGGCCGCCATCCCCGCCCTGGACATAAACCCAGACTGCAGAGGTGGGTCAGGGTCCGGCTCTAACATTTCTGCCTTATTCTGCCTGCGATGAGGGGCCTGGCACTTTGCCCAACGGGGACCCTGTATCTCTTCCAAGAAATGGGAACAAACGGCCCCACGAGAACGCACAGGCTGGGAAGGAATCTCCCACCGACCGTACCAGCAACGGTGCCCACAGGGCATGCTCACACTCCTGGGGGCAGGAAGGGGGCGCTGTGGGGTGCAGTCCACGGAGGGACAAAATGGCTCCAGCAAAGCCCTTGCAAAAGGGGTGGGGGTGGGAACAGAGACAGAAATCAGACATGCGGACATGGACACACGCAGCCACCGGCTCTCCGGCCAAGTGATGGCTCTCAGGGGCATGGCCACGGGCTGGGCTCGCCCTGCGCCTGGGGGCTGGCTGCGTTGTCTTTTGGGAAGAAAAGGTGGGATGAGCATACGGTGGCTGATGAAAGCTGGGACCTTCCTGCAAAGTCCCACCCTGCTCTGGAGACGATTCTAAAGTCCAAGGGGCAGCAGGCACATAAGTGGACATCGTCCCACTGGCGAGTCCCCAGAGGAGATGCCTGTGCGGGCCCAGCCCCGCGGTCCTCCCCGCTGGGACACCCCCTGCTCACTGCTACCATCTCACCTTCCACTGAGTTAAGGGAGAGGAAACTGGAACTTTAAAAAAAAGGAGAAAATAAAAAGCAAGGAAAAGACAACAGCATGGCTAGCCATCCGGACAGAGGACTGTGATGGGGTGTCCCCCTGTCTGCCCCTGACCCATGGCCGCTCTAACGGGGCCTCTGATGGCTGGGCTAGACCTACAGGTACAGACAGACAGATATTGCATATATCAAGTTTGGTTTTTGTTTTTCTTTGTTTCATACCAGATACCCTCCATAGTCACAGCTGGAAGACGTAGTACTGGGTGTTGGGGGGCAAGGAGAGGGCAGGAAGGAACTGACACCCAAGGCTGGTGTCCAGGAATGGGAGATAAGTGGGTCCTTTGGCAAGAAGGAGGGGGGCACACAGGGGAAGAGAGGGGGCCTCATGGGGGTGGGAGAGCAATTTGACCCTGAG